AACAAAAGCAAGTGATGCATCAAAGTTTGATCCTTTACTTCAGCAACTTCACGTGCATCCTACCTCTAGTATATGCTTTTGCGCAGTCCCATACGATTAGTGGAGATACGTCTGAGGTGTCATTTATACTTAATTTAATTTAAGTTCACTTGTGATCAATGAAATGAATTCATTATCATTGAGGAGCGAAGTGTTAGGTCTCCATTGTTTGGAAGTATGCTTATTACCTAAGTCCCATAATATTTCTATTGGTAAATGGTCCGACGTGGCCATCTGTAATATCTTCATACTAGTTATTCTGTGCAGCTCATCTCTGGAAGTAAAAAAATAATCTATTATGGAGTAAGACTGATGGCTATGTTAATAGAATGTGAAGTCTTTGGGATTTGGAAAATTGCTTCGCCATACGTCATACGTAAGTTCTGAAGATTGAGATTTTATTATACTCATTCACGAGCATGGGGTATTGGATATGGGTTGTCTATCTAAGTGTTGTGACATAGTACAATTGAAGTCTCCTCTAATTACTAATATTCTTGAGCTATGCTGTATAATTGTGTTGAAAACTTTTTTTAATAAAAGCCGGTCTATCCTCCTTTGGAGCATATATATTCATGAGTGATAGTTCAATGCTATCCATAGAGCCATTTAGCAATATAAATCTACGCTCAAGATCTTTATGGATATTTACTCAGTTAAAGAAACAATAAATATTTAAGTAAATAAAATTAAGTAATAAAAGAAAAAAATAGAATGAAATAAAAAGACATTGGAACATTGGGGGGGGATGAGTTTATCAGAATCTGGATTCGAACTGAGTTCTTGCTCGAATGTGTCAAAACATTTTACCATGCGTTTTACAAGCTACGCCACTCACACTGTTAAAGACGCTGCAAAATTTTAAACCTATAAATCACACTATCTCTTTTTAAACCCACTCAGTGCTATGTTCAAACTTAACTGTGTTAACAGCATCAGCTCAACTGTTCCACTCTATTTTTTTTTCTTTTGTTATTAATTCCGGAGAACAAACTTGCAGATAACAAGTTTTCTCTGGTCTACCTCCGAAAGCAGCACCTCCAATTAACATTCTATTCAAAGTTTCTCATTTGGCTTGCTTTTGCTGTTGCTTTTTTGTTGGGTTTTGCCAAAGTAGAGTCATTAGCATATTCATTCGGGAGAGGAGGCAAGGAGGGGTTTTGCGCTCTTCCATGTTGCGCTCAGTTTCACGTTCATTCGAACGTACGAGAATATGCGTGTTATTCGGCGTATGCAGTGTTTCAGACTCCTACAGAACCATAATTTTTGAAACTCAAAATTAACAGCTTCATAAACAGAGACGTGTTTTTCCAAGCATAAAAACTGCTGTATAAAGTTAGCTAATCCGTTCATTCCATGGAAGAAAACAAATACCTCAGGGAAATCAATTGTAATGATCAGTCAAATCCAACGTAAGGAGTCGAGAGTGGATTATCACCTAATAAGTTTGAAGGCAGGATACTCATCGTTAAGTGTTGTAATCTTCAGGTAGAATAAGTGTCAACTATTAGATTGATTGTCAGATATGATTTTCTTTTTCACATAATCCATTGCCTCGGACGCAATCTGAAACCACTTTTCTTTTCCATTGTGTGAAATTCGGAACCTTGCTGGAAAAAGCTGTCCATATTGCACGTCCTGTCGCCCCCGAAGAGCTCTCCTGACATCAGTGAAGACTGCTCTGCCCCTGCAACATTGGCGGCGTAATCCTGAAAGATGGTGATTTGATTAACGTTGTGAATGAGCAGTGTGCGTTCTCTGGCTTTTTGTAAGATCTCCACGGCATCTCCATCGTAATGTAACTTTGCGGTTATGGTACGAGGCTTGTCCCCTGGCCTTTTTGGAACAAGGCTATGATGTGAGTGGTCAATTTTGACATCTCTGTCCATTTGAAGCAGTTTTTTTTAGCAGTTTGAATACTGCTGTAGTTTTGATCCCGGGAGCTCGGAGATTACAGTAACGCGCATATTTCCGCCTTCTTATGCACCCTTTCATATCTTCACATTTTTCTTTTAAGTCGTCGACGTGTCTTGTGAGTTTAGTTACAGTTGCCTGGAGAGTGACCATCTCGTCTGACCAAGTTGAGAGTCCTCCCTCGAAATCCTTTATGTTCTCTTTTATTTGGTCAATTTCAGAACGCACAGCAGTGGCATTAATCAAGATTTCGGGTCTCATAGCCTGTAGTTCAGATTTAAGTGCATCAAAATCCTCTTTCAATGCGTTCTTTAATTTTTTCGTTATTACAGATTATTTGTCCACTCTTAAGGAGCAGAGAATGTCCGCCTTTATCTTCTCGAAGACAGTATTTGTATCGTCAGGCCGTCCAGAAGGAGATCCAGGCTCACTGGAACTACTCTGCCCCAAGGCTTCGGGCCTTACGGTGATAGGGCCAGAATACTTGTATTTATGGAGATTCGCTGCCATCCTTGACTGTATTTAATCAACGTGGTCTTCTGTTCGTTTGCAAGAACAAATACTGTTCATTCTCAGACATTAAACAGCTGTTAATATAACAATTTTTAAAGATTTTATAGGAGAGCTGAAAACACGTGTTTACTCCATCACGCTCGACAGCGCCCCCTCGACTGACACAGTTTTAATGGACTCTATGCAAGATCTCTTCCGCGTTTGTGATTAGCCCTCATGTCAACTTCTGGTACAGCACCACGATCACTGTGAGCGGATGGCGCAGGTGATGATGATAGACTACACTCGTTGTTTATAAAAGTTTCCTTGCATTACCATGAAGGACAATAATGGAATCGCGAGACAGAGAGCTGTCACACCAAACAGCAAAGAAGAAAAGGGGTTAAAATTCTACATTTCGAGTTGCATCGATCAGTTTGAGGGTGAGTATTATTATGCTATATATAAGAAAAGCAATTAAATGCTAGCCATATCTTTTTTTCCTCATAGTTCATATTGATTTTTATGTTGTTTTAATTACCTGTATTATTTCTATCCATCTGCCTGTCTATCTATTTACATGTATGTGTACATTATGTCGTCAATATCCATTAGTATAAACGTTACTAACTATGGGTTATTTCTCACTGTCCTATAAGGGTGGAGTGACGGGAGATCAGCATTTCAGGTCGATAGTGAAGTCAGATAAGCTGCATAGTTTGAGTGAAAGGTTATTTATACTCGGGATGACATGATGATCCAGCTCATCTGCAATAACATCAAATTGTTTCAGGGGAAGCCAACCTTTTTTTTTCTTTTTTTTTTAACTTTTACCTGTCAAGATGACTGCAGATTTGAACAAACACACTCACACAACTTTTTTTTATGTTTAAAATTGTCAAATTTACACGTGTCAAAAAATGTATTTATATTTATGCTGCAGTGCAAATGTCTAATTACTTATATTTAGATAGTTCGGTGTTTTACTTGTTGAAAATTGGTTTAAGAGGGTATCCCATTTGTTACATTTTTGCTACTTGAAACAAATGCATTTTGCATTATTGAGCATCACTGGGGGTCTGACAGAAGTTGCCTGCCTGATTTTTGCTTGAAGGCGGAGGTGGTACATCACATAATTCTGCACAATAAACTCTGCATAATTACATTAGTGCAAGTATCTAAAGTGATTTATATATTTACATTAGTGCAGAGCAAATGTTCACTCAAATTGTTCTGTTATTTATGTTTGTAATCTTTAGCTTAAGCTTTTACTGATGAGCAGAAGGCAAGCCATTGTGTAAATCTAGTTGATGCTTGCTGTAATAGAAAGAGATGATGACTGTCCAGCTTGTTGCTTCACCCTGTGGATGAGATGCTCAGTGTGAACCTATAGTCTTGTGAAGGATGGCTTCTCCCTCACAGTTGCTCTTACTCTGAACGCGTTACTCTAGATGTTGTATGATGTAAATGAATAAATCAGATAGAAATGCATTAGGTTTTGAGTATAAAGACTTGTACTTAACATATTTGTTTTAGTTTGTTATTTGCCTCTTACATGATACTAGAATGTTTGATGTGGGTGTGTATATGCATGTATACAGTATATACAGTATAATATAATTTACTATAATATTGTTAAAAATGTAATATTTTATATTAAATAAAATTACAACTTGTTACTACTTTTATCTGGGTTAAATTCTAGTACATCATTTTTAACTGTACCTTTAGATCCTTTTAACATCACTAAAAGTAGCATTGAAGCAGTCTCCTTTCAGTTACTTCACCTCTTCACTGTGATTATCAGTCTGATCTGGTGTATTAATCAACAATAATGATGTTTCAGATGCTGAGCATCCACTGGCACTAGATCCTTCAATCTTCCTTCTTTGCCATGCTCTGATTTGTTTAGGTTTCGCCGCTATTAGATTTCACTGTAGAACGAAATCAGATTTCGCTATGCGGAAGAGCCTGACTGATATTCTACCGGAAACACGTCAGCAGAGTTAGTGCATAGAGCCCATTTACTATAACTTTTATGTTAATCTGCTTTGACAGTTTACATTGTAAAAGCACTAGATAAATAAAGATGAATTGAATCTGCTTAAATGTATACATGTTAATGGACCAAACAAAATATGATCTGATTTATTTACATTTAATGTGCATTAAAATTACAGTGTGTAGCCAAGGTTTCCAGTGTCTTTTCACTTTTCAGTTTTGATAGTTTTTAAGACTTAATGGAAACTAATGTTTTATTTATTTATTTCAGACCTAATTGAAGAGAATGAGGGGAGTAAAGAGGAGGAACATCATGTCAAAATTGAGGAAAAATCTCATTTACAGACTGATGATATTTTGAAAAGAAGAGACAAGAATCATTTCACCTGCACTCAGTGTGGAAAGAGTTTTAAAAGAAAAGACATTCTTAAGACTCACATGAGGATCCACACCGGAGAGAAACCATTCACATGCACTCAGTGTGGAAAGAGATTCAACCAATCATCACACCTTAATCTACACATGAAAATCCACACTGGAGAAAAACCATTCACTTGCACTCAGTGTGGGAAGAGTTTCGGCCAATCATCGTACCTTAATCTACACATGAGGATCCACACTGGAGAGAAACCATTTACATGCACTGTGTGTTGGAGGAGTTTTATTTGCTCATCACACCTTAATCAACACATGAGGATCCACACTATAGAGAAACCATTCACATGCGCTCAGTGTGGGAAGAGTTTCAGCAGCTCATCAAACCTTTATCAACACATGAGGATCCACACTGGGGAGAAACCGTTCACATGCACTCAGTGTGGGAAGAGTTTTAACTGCTCATCAAACCTTAATCAACACATGAGGAACCACACTAGAGAGAAACCATTCAGATGCACTCAGTGTATGAAGAGTTTTAACTGCTCATCAGACCTAAATCTACACATGAGGATCCACACTGAAGAGAAACCATTCACATGCACTCAGTGTGGGAGGAGTTACAGCCAATCATCATCCCTTAAGCGACACATGATGAGCCACACTGAAGAGAAACCATTTATGTCTAATCATTTTGTTTAATCCCGCCCCTTTTCGCAGCATCGTACAAAAGAATTTCTCATGCTCAAACTCTAGTGTAATTGCAGCTTTGGTGTGGGATGAGTTCTAGCAACTCATCAGACCTTAATAAACGCATGAAGACCCACACTGAAGACCATTCACATACACTCAGTGTGTTGGGAAAAGTTTCAACTGATGAGCAAACCTTAATGTAGACATGAAGATCCACACTGGTGTGAAAGAGTATATGTGCTTGAATGTGAGAAAACTTTTATTACAGCTCAAATTTAAACTGCACCAGACGATTCACACTGGAGAGACCCTACAAGTGTTCACACTGTGACAAGAGGTTTAATCAGTTAACAGATCTGAAAACACAAAAGAGGATTCACACTGGAGAGAAACCGTACAGATCTGATCAGTGTCTTTACAATTGGACAAAAAGTTGCACACATGACCTGAATGCAGCAAAACAAGCACAGGATGTTTCATGTCTGAATAATGTTTGAAAAGGCTGAGTGATGGTATACTGTTTTCCTACACTGCAGTAGGTGGGGTTGTAAATGTGTTGCGCTCATCTCGTTTACCGTAAACATTGCTAGCGGCTGAGAGAAGAATAGTTTCATAAACATCTGACAAACAGCATCTCAGCGGCTTAAAATCTCTCTTTGCAAGTGATTGTACAGGTGCGGATACATCTGTACTCCACTCTCCAGTGTATTCATGTAGCTAGTGTTGTTTTGGATGATGTTCTCCTTCTTACTCCCTGAATGAGAAACAAATCACTGGGAAGACACCACACATCAAGGAAGGTGGAGCTCCAAGACAGTTAGTTTTCAGTATACCAGGGCCTCAAGTTTAGAAAATATAATGACTAAGAGCAATTTATTTAAAAACGAAAGGAAAGGAGAGTGTTAAGTGTTTCAGGACATAAGGGCAAGTAATAAAATAGGCTATAGCCTATATTTCGCTCCAAAGAAGCCCAGCTTTAGCCTGATCAGGCCCTGGAGGTGACAGTGGAAACGCGACTGGCCTGGGCTCCCTCGCTTTTGGTGCGATAGTGGAAATGGGGCTAATGGTTCTGGTGGCTCTCAATGGTGTGGAACACTGGTCAGTTTTTGTTGGCTTGTCACTGGGTTACCACCATTCAGTGGCAACACAGTAGTCCTCACTGTATTGGGCAGATTTTTGAAGCAGCTCACTTTATTTCACTCCTCAAATAATCTTCATCGAGGGAAACAGCAGCCATTGTCTTGGACCACATGTTCCGTATTCTTGGCCTCCTAGTTGACATGGTTCTAGACAGGGGTCTGCAATTTGTATCTAGGTTTTGGGCAGAATTCTGCCGACAGCTAGGGGCGACTGCTAGCCTCTCATGAGCACCACCCACAGACCAATGGCCAGGCCAAGCAAGCTAGTCTGCAGCTGGAGAGGGTCCTGCATTGCGTTGCATGCAGGGAACCCTTATCTTGTAGGTCTAGATTAACCATGGTCAAATATGCATAAAACTCTCTTCCTATCTTGTCTATGGGCTTGTCTCCCTATCAGTGCTGCTTAGACTACCATTCCTCTGTGTAGACTGATTTTATTTGTCTGCCATTTTAAAAGCAGTGTCAAGGCTGTGTTGGGAAGAAACCTGGAAGTATCGCCTGGAGTCGCACAGGATCATTGTGTACCTGGCTGTATATCTTAATCACAGTCATTTTTAACGGGCACCAGTGAACACTATGGCAAATCAGCGCTGTTTAAGAACACGCTCAGCGGCACCTAAACGTTAGCGGGAAATGTTTTTAAAATCCCATTTTAAAATCCCATTTTTTAAAACTTCAGTACCGGAACAATTCTATTAAATTCAACACGAGGGTGTTATATCGCTCACCCAGTTACTTAGGCCGAAGCAAGGAATCGTCCCCACAGTGTTTACCTGGTGCCGTGAACTGAATCCTAGGAGGACACTTAAGCGTATTACTCTTAAAGAGATTGTAATTTTATTTGATGCTTAATTTGCTTTTAAGTGTTTAAATTAAACTGAACTAAATGATGTTAAAGTGATGTTTACATCATCTGCATTTTGAAATCACGGCAACAGCTGGAGGTTTGTAGTCCACTGCAAGTTGTTGCAATGTTTACAGTGCTGATCCTATACTTCCATGTGTTTTCCCACCTCAGCCTAGCTTTCGTTAAAATGGTTTTTCGTTTAAAATGGTGGCCATGTGAAATAAGCGTATTCTCTTCCCAAGAACCAGATGCCATTGTTTCCTCATGCATTTGTTCATTCAGAGATGCCTCTAGACATGAAGGATCACCAGAAAAGGACTAGCAATAGAAATTCAGCGTTTGCCCCCTCTATATATGTGTGGTCAGAAAGTCTGGTTATCTTCCAAAGGCATTCCTCTCAGCTTTACCTCACATAAATTGAGACCCAAATTCATTGGACCTTTTTCTGTTATCAAGGTGCTCAGTCTAGTGTTTGTTCAAATTAAGCTCTAAGTTTAAAGACATTCATCCGTTTTTTCCAGGTGTCTAAGATCAAGCCCATTCTTCTCTCCCCCCTGCAGCCCATAACCTCTGCTACTCTACGTCCCAGACTGGTTGAGGGTGCATTCACATACACAGTGCACTGGCTCCTGGATGTGAGGAGGAGAGGTAGAAAGATTATCAGTATCGGGTATACTGGAAGGGTTATGGTCCAGAGGGGAGATGTTGGATTCCGGCTTTGGATATTCTGGACCGCTCTCTCATTGATCAGTTTAAATAGGTCCACAGTGAGTCTTAAGGGAATGCTAGGGGGCATTCTTGAGGGAGGGGTACTGTCACCATGCCTCACAGATTTGCTCTCTTCTCCTGTTCTGGGTCACAGGAGCTCTCGTTTCCCTTTTTTCCTGTTTATACAACATCATTTCCCTTCATGTTTGTCAGTATGTTATCGATCATTTGTGTGCATATTATTTTGTTACTCACCCTGTATTCGTGTGCAGGAATGCTAGTGAGTGAGTGTCTGGTTGTTTTCTCCCACGGCACTTTCTCAGTGCTCACCCGACCAGATGTTTACTTTGACTTTTGCTTATTCCAGGACTCACTCCCCAAACACATTGTTTTTCTGCATTTGAGTTCACTTCTTTTTTCCTTGTGACACAAGTATTTTCTTTCTCATTTGTGTTTAAAGGTCTTTAGGTTTTGGCATGATGTCTAGCTTTTGAAGCTCTTTTGGTCTACTTCACTTTGTCAGACACATCCTATTTAGGTGATTTATTGATTGCAAACATGTGGTAGTAATCGGGTCTGGGTGTGGCTAGAGAACTTGAAGCCGGTGTGAAAAAGTTAAGTTAGGTTTTAATGGGGAAAAACATTTTCACACAAGGCTATGTAGTTTAGTACTTTGTCTTCCTTTTAAGAAAAAAAACCTTAAAAACTGCACAATGTGTTTAATTGTGTTCTCTTTAATCAATATTCACATTTGTTTGATGATCTGAGACTGTTAAGTATTAGAATTCTGCACTGTAGATTACTAACCCTTAGAACATTTGTCATTCAAAGGTGCAGGCTTTATGCAGATATGTCTCATGTCTATGGAGGCAAATACTCAGAGATTCAGCTGTTTTTTTTGACAGGTTTACCATTCAGGCACAGAATGAAAAACATTCCCTATCTGCTTTACAAGTTTTACAAAAACATGTTGTTTTGAGTGATTACGAATGTATACAAAATGAAAAAACTGGCCAGCTTTCAAATTTGTGTCTCATCAATATGACCAAAAATGATCTGGGATTAATCATATAAGAATACACTTAAATGTGCATGTGTGTATGTAACAGGGAGACTGACATGGAGGGATCCATTTTGCAGTATTTATTAGACACAGTCAAACACAAACATCCAACACGCACTAAAGTGCGAACACACATCAACAGTAATCAATAAAGGTTGTGGGGCTGGCGGCTAACAGACAGAGTGATTTACCAGGCATAGATCAGTGGCAGGCGGCGTGGCTCAGAGTCCTTATGACAGGTAGGGATGGCTGACGTGAATCTGACGTTTCGACACAGTGTCGAGATCCCGAAGCGCAAGTGTTTCGAAACACTGCACCGAAGCATGATCCGAAACACCCAGGTCACGTGACTAAAGTGTTTCGAAACACTTGGTCACGTGACAAAAGCGATTCAAAGCATCGATCATTTCAGAGGCGTTTCAAGACCCGGAGAATCTGCATTTGACTGACATGATCTTGATTTGACACTGTCTAGTAGGGCCTAGTGGACCGTGCGTGTGCACAATGGTGCTGTGTGTCAAATTTGTTTTGGGTTCGAATCTCGACTAGTACAAATACTCCAAAATCATGTTTTTATGTATTTTAATCATGTTACTGTTTTATGGTGTAGCCTAGATAGGATACAGCTGTGGATATGCCATCAATTTAGCATCATTTTTGTAACATTGTAAAACAATAATTCATAGTTTTACAGTACTGTGATGGGTTTAGGTTTTGGATAGACGTTAATAAAATACAATGGGAAATTTAATTAATAATATAAATAATTATTGTTAACTTCTGGCCACAACTGTATCTGATCTAGTAACAACCCTGTTTTATGAACAAAACAATACAAATTTATTTACAAGGTGTTTATTCGGATGTCAGAGCAATGTTGAAACAAAACGATACAATAACAAAGCATTACCAACTGGTATTAAAGCATTTCAAAACAATTGTGTCAGTGTGAATTCGAACCCATTTTTCCCGCATGGTTGTCATGAACTCTAACCGCTCGACTAAACCATCTGATGACTCCTGGCTACAAAGTGGGGTTTGATACCTTAATTTGCTCAACTGTTCTTCGCTGAAGCTGTTTCAGTGAAATACTAATACAATGACCACTAGGTGTCACCGTAGAGTGGTGTTTCGAAACGTTTCGAAGCTTCGACACATTTGCTTCGATAGTTTCAGTGTTTCACGAAGCCTCGCTTTGCCCACCACTAATGACAGGCGTAGGTCGTGGGCAGGCAGCGTGGTTCAGAGTCCGTGTAACAACCAAGGGTCGTGGGCAGGCAGAAGGCAATTCAGAGTCAGAAACAGTCCGGGGTAATGTACAGTAGATCAGGCAGGAAAGACCGCTCAGTAATGCTGGCCGGGGCTAAACAAGACTTCGCACTGAACAGTGGTTTGAGTGTGGCTTATATAGGTGGCGTGGGTCATTACCGAGATTCAGTTCAGGTGTGTGCACAATCAGTCTAGGTGGATGATGTAATGCTAGAAGTCTGGGGATGGCGGCCTCTGCTGGCCAACGAGGGGAATGACTGGGACCGAGTTGGTGACAGTGTAATGGACCCCAGGAGGTTGATGTGACAAGATTAATCTAAATATGATCTGCTATGTCTTTACATTTAATGTGCATTAAAATTAAGGTTTGTGTAGCCAATGTGTTAGAGCCCTTTTACTTCAGCTTTCGATGAGCTTTAATGATTTACTAAAAACTTAACTTTTTTTTTCAGACCTAATTGAAGACTATGAGGAGAGTAAAGAGGAGGAACATCATGTCAAGATTGAGGACAAAACTCAATTAGAGACTGATGGTATTTTAAAAGTGAGAGACAGGAGTTGTTTTACCTGCACTCAGTGTGGAAAGAGTTTGGCAAGCAAAAGCAAACTGAAGATTCACTTGAGGATTCACACTGGAGAAAAGCCATTCACATGCACTCATTGTGGGAAGAGTTTTAGCCACTCAGCAAACCTTAATCAACACATGAGGATCCACACTGGAGAAAGACCATTCAAGTGCACTCCATGTCGGAAGAGTTTCAGCCAATTATCATCCTTTAAGCAACACATGAGGATACACACTGGAGAGAAACCATTCACATGCCCTCAGTGTGGGAAGAGTTTCAGCCAATCATCAAATCTTAATCTACACATGAGGATCCACACTGGAGAGAAACCATTCACATGCCCTCAGTGTGGGAAGAGTTTTAGCCAATCATCAAATCTTAATCTACACATGAGGATCCACACTGGAGATAAACCATTTACATGCACTCAATGTGGGAAGAGTTTTAGCCACTTATCACACCTTAATCAACACATGATGATCCACACTGGGGAGAAACCATTCACATGCACTCAGTGTGGGAAGAGTTTTAGCCACTCATCACACTTTAATCAACACATGATGATCCACACTGGGGAGAAACCATTCACATGCACTCAGTGTGGAAAGAGTTTTAGCCACTCATCACACCTTAATCAACACATGATGATCCACACTGGGGAGAAACCATTCACATGCACTCAGTGTGGGAAAAGTTTCAGCCAATCATCATCCCTTAATCAACACATGAGGATCCACACTGGAGAGAAACCATTCACATGCCCTCAGTGTGGGAAGAGTTTCAGCAAGTCATCCTCGCTTTATAGACACATGAAGATCCACACTGGAGAGAAACCATTCACATGCCCTCAGTGTGGGAAGAGTTTCAGCCTATCATCATCACTTTATAGACACATGAAGATCCACACTGGAGAAAAACCATTTACATGCACTAAGTGTGGGAAGAGTTTCAACCAATCATCATACCTTAATAAACACATTAGGATCCACACGGGAAAGAGATCATTCACATGCACTCGGTGCGGGAAGAGTTTCACCCACTCATCACACCTTAAAAAACACATGAAGATCCACACTGGTGTGAGAGAGTAAATGTGCTTGGAGTGCGAGAAGACTTTTATTACTGCTGCAGAATTGAAACAGCACCAGAGGATTCACACTGGATAAAAACCGTACAAGTGTTCACTCTGCAGTAAGAGGTTTATCACTCAGGAACCCTGTAAACACATTAGAGGATTTACACTGGAGAAAAACGGTAGACATGATCAGTGTGTGCAGAGTTTCACTCATTCGGGGCAGCTTAAGAAACACATGGGATGGTTTCCAGTATGGCGTTAACACATGTAGCAGCATAGAAAGAGCGCTCCCATACACACTGGTATTAATCCTTCTTTTTACATCATATGTAATAACCAAAACCATATTTAAATAACATGAAGGGGGACAAAAACAAAAAGGCTAGGACAAAACAACCATTGAAACCTGAAAAAAACGAGAAATCAACAGATTAAAAATTAGAGACGGACAGGATAGCTAATAGCCCGTCAGCTAGCATTGCATTGCAAAACGAACTGTCACTTGATGAATTGGACCTTACAATCCAATGGTGTCACTGGGTACTCGGACCAAAACAACCTGCTGACGCACACCCTAGATCAGCGTTGGTATTCTTACTGGAAAACAAAACAAAAGACCTGGTTTTCCACTTTGCATGGATAAAGAAAGTAATACAGTGGAACGAAAAAAGGATTTTCTTTGACCAATATTACCCACCTGAATTCCAACAGAAAAGACGGGCTTTTGCTCCAATAGGAAAAATTCTTAAAGAAAAGGGGATTAAGTTCCAATCACCACCGCCGGCGAAACTTAGAATCTTTTCTGGAAAACGGGCAGGTCATGTACCGTATTTTCCGCACTATAAAGCGCACCGGATTATACGACGCAGTCTCAATTACGGGGTCTATTTCTGTACTTAACCCATACATAAGGCGCACCGTATTATAGGGCGCACGCTAAAATACACTGTCTGCAAAAAAAAGGTAATGGAAGCAAAACAGTTAACATAGTTTAGTTGAACTTTATTGTACTATTTAACAATACACTCACATTATGTTTTTAATCAGTCTTCTCCCACAAATCTATCAAAGTCCTCATCTTCTGTGTCTGAATTGAACAGCTGGGCAGTTTCGTCATCAAACACGCCGGGTTCTCTCTCATCATTGTCTGAGTCAGTCTCATTGCCGGGTGGCTGTTCAGCAATGATGCCGGCTTTTGCGAAAGCTCGGACAACAGTTAAAGCAGACACCTTAGCCCAGGCATCCACAATCCATTCACATATGGTGGCGTAACTCGCCCGGCGCTGCCTACCAGTCTTAGTAAAAGTGTGTTCGCCGTCTGTCATCCATTGCTCCCACGCAGCTCGCAACTTCACTTTAAACGCCCTGTTTACACCAATATCCAGCGGCTGAAGTTCTTTAGTTAGTCCTCCCGGAATGACAGCAAGCTCCGAATTCATTTGCTTCACTTGGTTTTTCACAGTAGCGGTGAGATGGGCGCGCATGGAGTCGCAGATCAACAGGGACGGTGATGTGTGGAAAAAACCATCCGGTCTCTTTACGTACACCTCTCTCAGCCACTCATTCATTTTTTCCTCATCCATCCACCCCTTTTGATTGGCCTTAATGATGACTCCGGCTGGAAACTTTTCTTTTGGCAGTGTCTTCCTCTTAAAAATGACCATAGGTGGTAGTTTCTGTCCATCACCATGGCAACCAAGAACAACAGTGAAAGCCGACTTCTCATGGCCCGTGGTGCGTATTGAGACTGTGCTGGCCCCCTTTTTCTCCACAGTATGATTCACGGGGATGTCAAAAGTGAGAGGGACCTCATCCATGTTGGTGATGTGTTTGGGCTGGATCTTTTTGTCGGTAATCTTGTTACTGCAGTAAGTGCGGAAAATGTCAAGCTTTTCTTTGTAATCTGCTGGCAGTTGCTGCGCCACGGTAGTCCGTGCGCGGATAGAGAGATGGCGCCTTTTCATGAAACGAAAGCACCAAGACGGGCCTCCTTGAAAGTGTTCGATCCCCATGTCTTGTGCTATCTTTGTTGCCCTCAGTCGAATGGTGACTGTAGAGACACTTCTTCCGGCTGTTCTCTGCTCAATAATCCATTGCTCAAGTTGGTCTTCTAACTGTGGCCACCTTGCTTTGTTCCCGCGGAAACTCTGTTTCGTCTTCTTAACTTGGCGCAGTTCATTTTCTTGTTTCCTCCACTTCCGAACCATAGATTCATTAATTTGGAATTGTTTCGCAGCTGCTCTATTCCCATTTACAACCGCGTAACTGATAGCTTGTAGTTTGAATTGTGCCTCGTAAGCATGTCTCTTCATTGGTGCCATTTTCGGGGATCATTAGACAAACATATGTAGTTTTGATTGGTTTATTGCTGCTGCGTACGGAGTGTACGTTTTACGTCTCCGTGTCGGCGGGAAATGCTCCGACAGCCAATCAAGCGGAGCGCTTTCCGAAATCACACAACAACATTTTTACAGATTTTTAAACTCCGTGCACACATAAAGCGCACCGGATTATTAGGCGCACGGCCATTTTATGACAAAATATAAGGCTTTTAGGTGCGCCTTATAGTGCGGAAAATACGGTACAATTTGATGACAGGCATCAAGAGATCTGAAAGAAAAAGAACTGATAAACAACGAAGAAGAAACCATTATAGGAATTTCTGGGAAAGAGAAACAAAGATTTTGGCAAAGTTTGGAGTGACATCGAAGAAGAGAAAACTATGTGACTTTTAAAGGGACAACACTAGCTGTTTGAAAGAAGAGTAAAACCTGACAGATCCTAACAAAGAACTCTGAGAGGCTGGTAAAACTTCTTGACTTTATTTACAGATGATGGACATTTACATGATTTACATGAAAGAATGATATTTAACCGAACTTACCAACGACACACCAAGACTCGAGTCATTGAGTAACATACTGGTAGAAAAACATAAAAGAATTCTATTTTATACACGTAAAATCCCTTGCTATAATTAGTAGAAATATATAACTTGAAAACCTAGCTGGAAATAAAAGAATATAATATTGCCAGATATATTGCCAGATATAGAGACTAAATATGGTAATAAAAAGATCCAGATATTTTAATATGATCAAATAAGTTTAAGCAAGAATAAGGAAACAATAGGCAGAGTAGATTATCAATAAAATCAAAGATCCCAAAATTAAAAAGATATGTCATAGATTGGAGGAAATACAACAGGGCTCGAAATTGCGACCATTTTGGTCGCATATGCCCCCAAAATATGCGACCTCAAAATATATTTGGGAGCATTTGTGCGAGTGCAAAAATTGTTGTGTGCGACCAGTTTTTACTGCAAAATGTTCACCACATGCGCGGATTTGGGAGACATTCACGCAGAATGCATCCCTGCACTTAAAGCGCGAAACACAGCGCTCAGGAATGGTTTAAAACAGTTGTCATGTCAACTTGCTGCAGTAACCAAAGCCAAGTCCGTAATGTTTTCCCCGCCTTCGTGCTCTTCTTATTGGCCCACCCCTGCTCTAGCACTGAAATATCAGCTGTCAATCACTCAGTCAATGCCTTCTGGCTTGGGATGACAGAGAGAGCTACTACCGCTAAAAATTGTAAAGCGCTGAAGATGAGAATGAAGATAACACTGACAGATTTTGTTTAAGAAACCATGGCATCTAAAGTTACAAATAAGGAATTATCCTAGGTGTGAAAAAGGATAGTGATGATGCTTGGACAGAAGTATGGGTTGTCCTCTTGTGGCAACTCTGATAGACCATCTGATATTTCCTTCTTCACTTTTTCCATAACTTGCTTAAAATAAGCTACGAATGGTGATCTGGCCATGATGGTCAATGAATTTCTCCTTTCTTTACTCTCATAGATTTCCCAGTCTTTAGGCTGCATATTTTCTTCAAGTGGATTGTCTTTGCCCTTTGAAATGACAGTTTCCAAAAGAGACAGACTTTCCTTAACACAGCTTGTGTTTTGTGGGCTTGTGAGCAGGACACAGTGCACGGAACACAATTGTTGCTTGTGTCATGTTGGCGGCATTTTGGAGTCTGGCGAAAGCATAGGTGGCAAAGTCTCCCAGACCCTTGTCATCTGTTTGCCTACGGATTGACTGTCTGACAGCTTTCAAAATGTGCGGTGAGCAAATGTGCAGGATAGTAAATGACTTAATTTCATTCCATGATTTTTGTCCCGTGCAGAACTGATATGCTCTGTCAAGATAACAGCTCATGTTCTCTTTGTTGAAAGCATGAAGCACACTCAGCATCAAAGCCCAGCTGTAATTATTCTCGATGTGGTGAATGTTGATTTTGGTGTATTTTGACAAATCTAATTGAAAGCTCATGAGCAGAGGTGGTGCATTTCTATCCTTTCCTGGAAGAACGAGTGCATAGTATAACACACGATTCGGCTGATCGGGCTGAATCGCAAATGATGTTGAAGAAAGCTGATAACACGCTCTGTGTACAAATAAACAGAGAAGTGGTCTGTACTGGAAAACTGTATGTACCCTGGTAATTTGAAGTAATTTGTCACATTCTCTGAGTATTGTATTATGTGTACTTCTTTCAGGATGTCAGAGTGAATGGCTTCCCTTTTGCGGACTTCCGAGGTTATCACTTTTAATACTTTTTACTCAGGCATTTACTCATGTTCCCAGACAGATGCTGCTCTGTAGGTGTTGATTGAAGTGTGCTATAGAATTATTGACTGGGTCCATGCATAATTGACTTTGCTATTTTGCCTCTTTTAAGGTATGTAACTGGCCTAGCCTTCGCTTCTGAAAGTTTGTGTTGTACATGTCCAGTTTGTTGAACTAATATTTTTACTTTTCTGCCCCGTTCATGAGGTTTCCTTTGCTTTGTGAATGAGTATTTGCCTGGGCAAGAGGAAAATGTGCAGTCTGCTCTTATGTGTAAATATGGAGCATTTCTTTTTCTGCTCCAGGGAAGCCTCACATGTTGATATTTGAATGACAGTGTACAACATGGATTTTTTTTAATCAATATATTTTTTATTATTTTCACATCAATAATTTACAGAGTAATTTCAGTATACATGTAAACATTCTTTTCTAACCACCCTCCACCCCTTTCCCACCCTCACAAGACAGAACACTTAAACAGACATACTTGTGAGACATCGAGCTGATGTGTAAATTAAGAGGAAATAAACAAACAATAATGACAAATACAGAATTAAAGCAATGAAGTGTCATACTTTTCCATCAGTATTTTCAGTCAATGTAACATCCAAGTTATTCATGTATTCAATAAATTTACCCCAAGTCTTTTCAAACATTTAAGAGTTTTTTCTTTTAAGATTAAACATTATTTTTTCAACAGGAACATAAGAAGAAAGTTCTCTAAGCCATACAATATGACTTGGTGGTTCTACTGATTTCCAATGTATA